AGCTTTCTTCTTAGCGTCTGAAGCTGTAAAAAGGTTTAGGAGCTGCAGGGGAGAAGGATCAGGAAGGCGAGGAGGAGGGATGGGGATGGTGCAATCTTAAAGCAGTGAGATCTCCACTAAAAGTCATCAGTGAAGGATTTACAGAAGTGCAGAAAACACTACAAACACGCCAGTCACGACAGAGAAAGAACTGGTGTCAATTGCAGCCTTTGGAGCAGGTGACTGATTGTAGCCCTCCTTGAAAAAACGGCAAACCTTATTCTTTCTGTTCTGTGTTATTTCGCTCTGCGAGCGTGGGCACCACTTCTCATTTACGTGGAAATTCTGTTGCACCATAGTACCAGCCTTTTGGTTTTCCTTTCTCCTGCTGTCCTTATCTACACACCAGTCAATGAAATTCATCCCGACATAGGGAGCATGCACCAGCCCTACCCACTTCTCAAGCCCCACTCAAGTAAGAGGAGAACCAGGCCTCCAAAGTTGTCAATAGAACTGGTCGTTTTCACCCTTATTACCTGTATTTCCCAAGAAGGGTTCTTGGTCTGACTTCTTGGTCTGACTTCTTGGTCTGACTCAGACTTCTTGGTCTGAAGGGCTAATACCTCTTCTCTAAAGCCACTTACAGAAAACATGAGAGCTGTCTGTAATATAGTTAAAAGAACAGGAGTACTTGTGGCACCTTAGAGACTAACAAATACTCCTGTTTTTTTGCGGATACAGACTAACACGGCTGCTACTCTGAAACCTGTAATATAGTTACGAGTCTCATATGTCCAGCTATTTGTTTGATCGCTATTATATTGTTTGCTAGGTGACTACCAAAGAGCTCATTTCAGGAGTGCTGGCTCATTGGGCTGGACAGCAGACAACCGCTTCAGAGAACAGACTTAGCTAGCTTCTTCCTCCTTTAGACAAGGCCTAAGACACAAACTTCATTTCTAAACTTTCGGGCAGTTTTGCACATGCTCAGGAAGAAGACATTGCTAAAATCTCTCATAGGGACTCCTTGGAGCATTTCTCTAAGTGGGCAGAGTTAAGGTTATGTGGGAGTGTATGAATTTGAGAGCACTTTTAATTTTCTCTTTACACAGAAATATTACTGGAGCGTTTCCCTTCCTGTAAGGGAGCTCCTGAGTACTCAGAGTAGCACGCTTGCTGCTTTAGAGATCCAGAATGGAAATGTAAGAACTTTTCAATTATTAGATTTTGCAAGTGGATCTGTTTGCCACAGTTTGATGCGTTATGGGGCAGGCCTCTGATGTAAGTATTATATTGATACTGCCCACAGATTTTTGCCTGGATATAGTTAAATATATATATATATAAAATTTGGTCCCTTGTGAGGGGAGGGAGGGCAGCTGAATCTCAGGGTGCACTAGACCAAAGGTGGGGAACCTTTTTTGTGTCAGGGGCCCTTGACCCACCAAAAAAAAAACAATGGAGGGCCACACATGTTCAACTCACCTGCCAGAGGGGACGCAGAGGCCTGAGGCTCCTCCACCCCCACCCTGCCGCGGTGGGGCAAGCTGGTGCTTGCGGCTCCAGCCCCACGGGTGTGAATCCCCGAGCCTCGGTGCTCCCCTGCCCCATGGGGCTGGAACTGCAAGCGCCGGCTTGACCCGCTGCAGGGGAAAGCCCTGAGCATCTGTGCCCCCCCCCACCAGAGTGGAAAGTATGTGGCCCGTGGGCTGGATGAAAATGAGCACAAAGTTCCCCACCACTGCCCTGGACCAATTAAAATAAACTTGATTCACTGACTCTACCCACCCCACCATAAATGCCACAGTAATTTAAAGAGACAAGGTGGGTGAGGTAATATCTTTTATTGGACCAACTTCTGTTGGTCAGAGAGACAAGCTTTCAACCTTACACGGCGCTCTTCCTCAAGTTTGGGAAACCTACTCAGAGTGTCACAGGTAAGCTTCCCAGACCTGAAGAAGAGCGCCGTGTAAGGTTGAAAGCTTGTCTCTCTCCCCAACAGAAGTTGGTCCAACAAAAGATCTTATTTTACCCGTCTTGTCTGTCTAATATCTTGGGACTGAACACGGCTACCACGACACTGCACACAGTAATTTAAAGAGAATCCGAGTAAGCATATGGAATTTAGAGGTGATTTACGTCAGCTGAGCATATGACCCATCAACATTAAAAGGGAAAATTTAGGAAAACAAAAGCAAAGCTACTTTATAATGAAAATTTAAATCTCCCCCAATTCCCAGGCCATAAAGCACAACCTGATTCAGGAAATGACATAACAGACCTTTGCACGCATATTTTAAAATGACACTAGTACTCCAAATTGGGGCATCCCACCCAAGTCACATACTGCTGACATCGTAGTAATAGAAGCCCATTCACGTATAAAATATCAGTGAGTGTTTGTGACTCAAATTCAAATCTGTTCTTCTGAGAACGCCTCACCATATCCTACCCGAGTGCTGTTGCCCAAGGGGATAAGCGCAAAGATTTCAATTACAAAAACAAACCACTAGAATGCAAACAACCGGCAGAGGAAAATGAGTGTTGACTTTTCATGGAACTATGGTGGAAGGTGCTGAATTTGAATTTGAACCACTCTTTGTCATGACCGGCAGACCCCATGGTCAAAATGGCTAACCAGTCAGAAACACCGTCTTCCTGCCCAGGTCATGGCTGGACGTGTGGTTCACCAGAGAGCCACTCTCCACGCTGTAGACTGGGTTAGAGTCACCACTGGGATATTCCCTGCTAGTGAGTTTTTCAGACCTAAGTCTGCAGAGGTGTGAGATTTATACCCCTCCCTCCTCACCCCTCCCTTCCTCAAACACCAAATCAATTTACACCCCCTTCCAAAATTACATATGCTCTAAAATTGTGACAAAATGTATTGAAACGTGGAAACCTGAACACAATTTGGCTTGACTCAAATAGGAAAAAACCCACTATGGTTAGTGAACATCTCAACAACAACACACTTTCCGCAGCTATATCCCAATGCAGCATCCTGAGGATAAAATCAGCTGTTTACCCTAAATCCTATCACTGCATAGGTGCATCAAGCCCCATTTCTGATAAATCAACACTGGATCACATCATTTGACTATGGGATGAAATACTAGAAATTGTTGCAATCCAGTTTATGGACACATGAGAACAAACGCTGACAAGGGATTACTTTAACTTATTTCCAGTGGAGAGGAGTCCTAGCCACTGGAAATTTCACTGAAGCTGAAATGTGAAGAATTCCCCAGTCTTCTGCACCTCAAACCATTCATTTACATGTGCACAAAGTAAATTGGAAGTGCATGTAATATATAAGATTTGTAGTATTTGAAACCCATTTTGCACTGGTGTCAATGACTGCTCCCTAGCTGGATTCTAACCTCTGTCTGTCACTATAAATGCCAAAAAAAAGAGAAAAGAGGAGAGGAATTTTTTTTATTTTATGCAAACTCAGACCACCAACTTGCAGAAACTTACACAGCTGCTTACCTTGAACCATTTCAATAGCCTCTTAAGTTCAAACACACAAATCACATGTTTAAAGTGAAGGATGTGCGTTGATTTTCCAGAAACAGAGCCTTAGAAGATTTTGTGAGAGTTGAAACAAGCCATGTTTTAGAACTTATTAATGAGCTGGAGGACATGTATGAGTCTACTAAAAGAATCTTTCAGATTTTTTTCCAAGGAGAGTAGCACTCACACACACTTAAAAGTTATACTCAGTTAGGTAAAAGATATATTAAAGTATAAGAGGAGGGTCATTATTTTTGAGCCCCATGTATAAAATATTTAGAACAGGGAAATATATTAAAGTTGAAAGGCATTTCTTTCTTTCCATCCAGCCTTTTGTTGATATGTGGCTAGACCAGAGGTCCCCAAACTTTTCAGGGTCATACACCCCCTGACTCCTGTCCATGGCCCCTGACCTGAAGCCAGGCCTGGGAGTGGGGATGCGGCTCCTGGGGTTTGGGGATGAGGACAGGGGTAAGGGGGCTGAGGCTGGGGTGGCACCTGGGGGTGGGGGTGGGCCCAGGAATGGAGTGGCGACCGGGGCCAAGGGTGGGGCCAGGGCCAGCAGCGGGGGCGGAGCCGTGGCCGGAGGCAGAGGCTGGGCACAGAACTAAGGCTGCAGCTGGGGGCGGGGTAGGAGCAGAACTCAGAGTGGGGCTAAGTGGCACTCCTTCCCTGTCCCCTGTGGGGGCTGGCCCAGGCTCCACCGCACCCCCCCCCCGAATGTTCCTCCATATCCCCCTAGTGGGGAGTGCCCCACAGTCTGGGGACCTCTGAGTTAGACGGTGTTGTAACGATATCTCTGCAGGAAGGAAAACTCCCATTCAATAGCACCAGTAGTGAAATGTGTAATGAGGGAAATTCCCTCCGGTTCAGAAGACCTGCCCAATTCTATTGACCAATTAATGTATCTGATTCTCTTCTTACTTATGAGCTTGAGTGGGATTGATGCAGTGCATAGGGCTGGTCCTGAACATCTGCACAGGGGAGAATTTCACCCAGGGTGTTTTGGAGAGAAAGAAGGGAGGAGAAAGGAAAACCAGAAGGCCAATACTATGATGCAGCATAATTTTTAATGGGAATGAGCAGTGCAGTTTACACTTACAGAATGAATTAATGCAGAGTACAGAGAATGTACGTTCAGGGTTACAATAAGAGCTACAACCAATCACCGGCTCCAAGGTGATGCATTTCACACAAGCTATTCTGCTTTCTTTCTTGAAGCTGTAGAGTTTGACAGTCATGCCCAGTCTTAAACCATTTTTTTTCTCCTCAGCATCAAATAGGACAAAGCACAATATAAGCATAAGACTAAACTGCAAAACAATATAGACCATAAAGCTAAGGTAACATGTAACAAGAGGAAAGCATAGATAGGCCTGATTTATACAGTCGACAAACAACCAAAACCCTCACTGATTTTGAGTACTGTTGTAGTTGAGTGGTGAATCTCTCTCTTCTCTTTCATTTCCTGGTTGTTTCTTCTTCCGTGGTTCTTTCTTCTGGGTTTAACATGGGCCACAGCTTCCACGGCGGGAAGAATAGCACTTCCTACCATATCTCCTCCCATACCCACATAAGCCACCATAGCCACCCCCGTATCCACCACCATAGCCACCCCCGTATCCACCACCATAACCACATAAGCCTCCATAACCATATGAGCCTCCATAACCGCTTAAGCCCCCATAACCATATGAGCCTCCATAACCACTTACGCCCCCATAACCACCCCCTAAAGCACCCCCATATCCACCCCCATAACCAATTGAGCCACCCAAAACACCACCCCCAAATGAGCCCCCAGCTCCATAGGGTACAGTTGGTAAGGTGGTTCCCACTAGGCTGTGTTGAGGGGAAGTAGAGAGAATTGGTCCTGGGAATAGCACGGAAACCGGTGGTGGATAGACCACTGCTGTTGAATCTGCACACGAGGTGATACAAGGCTCATTGCGGGCAACAACACATGGATCTGGGCATATGTCAGGATAACACGAGCTGGGTCGGCAAGACAGGTCTTTGCAGAAAGACATTTTTTGTGATGGTCGTCAACCTGAAACACACAGAAGGGAGCAGAGGAAACAGAACACGCTGTTGACAATGGAATAGGAGACTCACTGCTGGTGTTATATGGTAATGTGGGCTATGTAGATCCCTTTTTGCAGGCTTCGTATCTGGGTATTCTCATAGATATCCACACCAACCAGCCAAGCCCCCAGTATTGCTAACATAGCTGCCCTCAGCTGTCTTTTCCGTGAGGTCCGAACTGGTAGGTGCACACTGAGAATACCTACCCGATTGGAACCCACAAGTAAAATAGAAAAGTGAATGCCTACTCTCAGGATCTGCCTGGGACTAAAGGGGAAGTTAGATGTCTTAGTCTCTCTGTGGGTTTGGTTTCAGGAGATTCAAGGATAGGTTTCCAATACAGCTAGGATTAGTGAGTGCTGAGCCCTTTTGGGGTTCTGGTTCCATTGGACTTGCCCAAGATAGCACAGGAAATATGTGCCAGAGACAAGTCCCAAAGCAGATTTTCTGAGGCCCTATTTGTGCCATGGCCACATGACCTTCCGTTCCCTCCAGCCCCTGAAAGAACAGTAAAAAACACTAATTCCTAACCCACAATAGAGAATTTTTCCATCATGGATGACTGCAATTTTCAAACCATTTTAGATAATTATGGAAATGCAGTAAATTATTCAAGTGTTCTTGTTAAACCAGTTTAACATAGGATCTAGACCCCTCAGATGGTCTAAATCATCATGCTTACCCTTCACTCAAATGTGCTACTTTGACTTACACCAGCCAAAGATCTGGATCTAAAATCGTGAGTTGTACCAGTAAAAAGTTAAATATTGCCGTATTGCATCAGATCAGTGGTCCATCTCACCCAGGATATTTTCTCTAGTAATGTGCAGCATCACAAGCCTAAGTTTAAAGTATAAGAATCCTGAAGTTGCCCACTATGGAGTATACTGCCCTTAAAGTGACTTTCTGCCCAACACACTTAAGCAGAGGCTAGCTTTGCCCTGAAGGAGACTACATATATATATATACTCTGAGTTGTTTCTATATCTATAACTATATCTGAAAAAGAACCGTAGAACTGCTTTTCAATCATTATATTTGAAATCTAATCTCCATAGTTTTATGGAAACGGTAGAGACAGATCATCACCCGGGTAAACCTTTGTGACTCCAATGAAGTCAGCTGAAGATCTGGCAATGTGTATTTATAGATAAAGAGTCAGAGTAGTGAGGACTATTATCAAAGTAGACTGAGGCTGAGATTTCTCATAATTCTGCAAGGAATTTCCATGTCCAATCTCAAATTATAATTTTGGGGAATGGGGTTCAAATCCCATATGTCGATTTGAAAATCCCAACCAGATATTTTGAAACGACAGCATCTACCAATACCTGCAATTTACTAGCTACAGAAAGACTCCTATGCAAAGAAAGATGCCCCCGTCCCAACATTTCTAAAATCACATCATATTAGAGCAGGATTTAGTTCCAAGTTAAAACATTCACTAAAGCAACAATTGGCTCAATTGGAGCCAACTAGACTTACCAAGCTCACCAAGGAGAAGGGGTCGAGAGAAGTGGATAGAAGAACCTGGAGTTGCAGGCACTTTTATACACCTTCTTAGCCAATGGGAAGGATAGTAGACACCCTCCATGCACTCGGACCATGTCATTAACCCAACAAACTATTTTCTTGAATGCGCAACTCCTCTAATTATTGTAGTGGCTTTGATCATGGTTAATGATGACTATTCAATTCACAGACCCACATAGGATGACATGCATGATGCTACTGGCAGTTCCCTTTCATCTTGAATCTTTATGGGCCTGATATCTTCATGGTATCATCCCACTGACTTTCGTGGTGTCAAAATGGGACTAAATCTAGTTCTGTTTCTTTAATTCTGCTTTGAATAACTTCAGAGTATGAGGGTGACTCAGGGGTGTATCACTAGCACAATCTGCTGTCATGCACAGGATTCCATGTTAGTTCTTTGTATCCAGACTAGTATCTAATTAGCGGCAAGGTGGAGTTTACACTTGGCACTCCTTGGAGGATGGGAGGTATTTCTTAGCGTGCTTGGAATACCTACCCATAACTATTCACTATGTGTTTGTGCCAATGTGCTTTTGAAATCCATGGATGTCTTTCCAATCAATGCAATGGCCTTCAAACCAGGCCTATGGTTACAATACTCTCCTGGATTCACAACCAATACATGATGTATGAACAATTTCAATACCTGCTAAGCCTTCAAAGTAGAGTTGAAGCAGTGTCAAAATGGTCCATATTCTTTTGTGTTCTAGCTGTGCCCAGAGATAACACTCATTCTAATGCGCTTAGAGATTCCAGGCTGAAGACATGATCAGTGCTTTAGAATCAAGGACTCAGGTGATGAACAAAATTGAATACACAAGCTTTGCTTACTGTAGTTATTTCCCTGAGTTGCATGAAAAAGTGGCAGTAGATGAAAGGAAGGAGTGCAGTGTTGTTTAAAGGTTTAGGATTAAAATCTTGGAACTACACCTGCATTCATAACCTAACAAGTCAGTGTTGTTCTTCAGGGACAATGTTCCTGAGAAAGCCTGGGAAAAATACCATGAGAGATGGAAATAAAGTCTACATAGTCATGGGGAACCCGGGGGGGGGGGGCATGGGGCATGGTTGAGGAATGAGCTTCCAGGAGAAATAAGACTAATCAAGAATCTGACCTACCTTAGCACAGGATGCAATTTCCTTCTCTTTTAGAAATCGACACCACCATCCTCAGAATGTTTTTTTAACTGCTATGTACCTCCCTAGAATAGTTACCTATTACCAGGGAAGCAGGAAGAACAAAAGACTTTATGAAGCTTACTAGAGAAATCTCTTTGGATATCCAGGCACATAGAAATTGCTCAGTAGTTCCTCTGATCCTATATCTTTTGTGCAATAATACCCAGTAGCACCTCTGTCAGAGAAGTTCACCTAGGAAAGGTTTAGCTACTGTGTTAGTAGGCACTGTGCAACATTCTCATATGGAGAAGTAGATTGGAATCTCCCCAGAATGAGTAATTTATGATCACCATCCTTTTCCCATATGGGGAGATGAAAGAGGGGGAGGTTATCAATTTACCCAAGCTCACTTGTGGTTAAACACAAGTCCCTGGTGATATTGGTGTCCAACATCACCCACCTTGTTATTCCCAGTTTTCCAAAATGCTCAGTTCCTACTCAGTTCCCTGCCTCAAGCGGGCATCAGAAATCACCAGTCACTTTTGAAATTCTTGGCTTTTGGGTCTTAATGTTTTACACTGAAGGACACCGGAGCTTTCAAGTAGAGTCAGAAGAGCCTGCTAAAAAATGTACAGACATGCCTAAAGAATTGAGGATGCTTTTCCTACAAAGAAAAAAAGAATACACAGAACAGTTAGAGCTGGAATGCCTAGCAACATATTACTTGAAATAGAGAGCCAGATTTCCAGCTCATGAACAGTGCAGAAATGTCATTGAGGTTGATTCCAGACTCCCAGGACTGTAGGTCCCTTCACAGCTAAGTTCCTAAGCATGGTAGAATCAGGGGCGGCTCCAGGCACCAACGCACCAAGTGTGTGCCTGGGGCGGCAAGCCGCGGGGGGTGGCGTGCCGGTCGCCGTGAGGGCGGCAGTTAGGCAGCCTTCGGCAGCACGCCTGCGGGAGGTCCACTGGTCCCACGGCTTCGGCGGCAATTTGGCGGTGGGTACGCTGAAGGCATGGGACTGGCGGACCTCCCGCAGGCATGCCGCCAAATCCGCGTTACCAGCGGACCTCCCGCAGGCACGCCGCCGAAAGCCGCCTGACTGCCGTGCTTGAGGCGGCAAAAAACATAGAGCCGCCCCTGGGTAGAATGAAATTAACCCTAGGGTAGTGGGCCAGCCTAGAGACCTCCGCTCCACTTCAATCGCCTTTAGCAGTACTTTGAATGTTTAAGAGGAATCTAAATGGGGCATAGTCTTTTTGCTGTCCCTGTCTGGAGGAGAGGATTGCAACCTTCAGGGCCTTATTTGAAGGAAACTCAACTTACTGGAAATATGGCCTTGAATTTCAGTGGGCTTGGGATCAGGGCCCATTCTAAATAGCGGCAGGTGGGCATAAAATCATGCAGAATAAAGTCTCCCCACCTATCTAGTGAGATCTCAGAGTAAATTCCAAATTAGATACCATACTGGATTTGAACAACTAACTTGGACTCTTGTGCATGGCATGTGTTAGAATTGTGATCATAACATTTTCCAGTAATGGGAGGAATTACTTGTGCAAAATATTTTGTTTTGTAATTGACCAGCACTTCCTGCACCCAGGGTGTCTCATAGCCTTATAGTGGGCTAAAACTGCATACAAATATGCTCCCAACTCAGGGTTCTGCTAATCACTTCTCTTGACTTATTATCATAGGTGAACTGGGTAAATCTGATTTAATTCAATCGCTTTATAAATATGTCAATGTTGCTCTACTGATAGTTTAACTTCTGACTGATTCTTGCAGAGAACTTTGTGATTCTTGGCATTGTTAAGGGTTTTTTTCCCCATAAAAGTTTCTTTTTACTTAGTAAGTTGCAGGCATTGGTGGACTTTGTATTTAAAAATATAAAACAGCTCATTTCAAAGCCACACAGCATATCGAGAGCACTAATTCTGCTTAATTTTACATGAGAATTGGGCATTCGTATCCTTAGAGAAGAATAAAAAATCTCAGGCTGAAGCTACTTTGATATTTGACAACATTACTCTGTGTACGTGGAAACATACTTGGCTAACTCATGTGAGTCAACATATTTACATCAGCTTAGGCTCTTACCCTACTATTTCCATTTAACTATGGTGATTGTCTTTCAGATTTATTCAAGTATAATTAGAGAGAGACTGACAAAGAGATTTTCTAACATTGGGGTGTAATGAAGAAAATTTGAAGAAGAAAAAGAAGAAATGGCATTTTCTTCTGTATTGGACACCTTTGTCCTTCTTCATAATTTTTCTGAGGTTTCTG